CAATTTTCAGCCAAATCGGGATGGCCCGGTCATGGATGGTAAGAACTTTAGAGGGTTCTATCTCGAGAACGGTCAATATTTCCACCCTAGAGACCATGATTTTCGGAATCAGCGTGCTGAGAAGGCTCTGTGAGCCAATTTTCAGCCAAATCGGGATGGCCCGGTCATGGGTGGTAAGAACTTTAGAGGGTTCTATCTCGAGAACGGTCAATATTTCCACCCTAGAGACCATGATTTTCGGAATCAGCGTGCTGAGAAGGCTCTGTGAGCCAATTTTCAGCCAAATCGGGATGGCCCGGTCATGGATGGTAAGAACTTTAGAGGGTTCTATCTCGAGAACGGTCAATATTTCCACCCTAGAGACCATGATTTTCGGAATCAGCGTGCTAAGAAGGCTCTGTGAGCCAATTTTCAGCCAAATCGGGATGGCCCGGTCATGGGTGGTAAGAACTTTAGAGGGTTCTATCTCGAGAACGGTCAATATTTCCACCCTAGAGACCATGATTTTCGGAATCAGCGTGCTGAGAAGGCTCTGTGAGCCAATTTTCAGCCAAATCGGGATGGCCCGGTCATGGGTGCTAAGAACTTTAGAGGGTTCTATCTCGAGAACGGTCAATATTTCCACCCTTGAGACCATGATTTTCGGAATCACCGTGCTGAGAAGGCTCTGTGAGCCAATTTTCAGCCAAATCGGGATGGCCCGGTCATGGGTGGTAAGAACTTTAGAGGGTTCTATCTCGAGAACGGTCAATTTTTCCACCCTAGAGACCATGATTTTCGGAATCAGCGTGCTGAGAAGGTTCTGTGAGCCAATTTTCAGCCAAATCGGGATGGCCCGGTCATGGATGGTAAGAACTTTAGAGGGTTCTATCTCGAGAACGGTCAATATTTCCACCCTAGAGACCATGATTTTCGGAATCAGCGTGCTGAGAAGGCTCTGTGAGCCAATTTTCAGCCAAATCGGGATGGCCCGGTCATGGGTGGTAAGAAATTTAGAGGGTTCTATCTCGAGAACGGTCAATATTTCCACCCTAGAGACCATGATTTTCGGAATCAGCGTGCTGAGAAGGCTCTGTGAGCCAATTTTCAGCCAAATCGGGATGGCCCGGTCATGGGTGGTAAGAACTTTAGAGGGTTCTATCTCGAGAACGGTCAATATTTCCACCCTAGAGAACATGATTTTCGGAATCAGCGTGCTGAGAAGGCTCTGTGAGCCAAATTTCAGCTAAATCGGGATGGCCCGTTTCTCGCTGCTGGACTCGCTACGAGGGTTCTATCTCGAGAACGGTCAATATTTCCAACCAAGAGACCATGATTTTCGGAATCAGCGTGCTGAGAAGGCTCTGTGAGCCAATTTTCAGCCAAATCGGGATGGCCCGGTCATGGGTGGTAAGAACTTTAGAGGGTTCTATCTCGAGAACGGTCAATATTTCCACCCTAGAGACCATGATTTTCGGAATCAGCGTGCTGAGAAGGCTCTGTGAGCCAAATTTCAGCTAAATTGGGATGGCCCGTTTCTCGCTGCTGGACTCGCTGCGAGGGTTCTATCTCGAGAACGGTCAATATTTCCACCCTAGAGACCATGATTTTCGGAATCAGCGTGCTGAGAAGGCTCTGTGAGCCAATTTTCAGCCAAATCGGGATGGCCCGGTCATGGGTGGTAAGAACTTTAGAGGGTTCTATCTCGAGAACGGTCAATATTTCCACCCTTGAGACCATGATTTTCGGAATCACCGTGCTGAGAAGGCTCTGTGAGCCAATTTTCAGCCAAATCGGGATGGCCCGGTCATGGATGGTAAGAACTTTAGAGGGTTCTATCTCGAGAATGGTCAATATTTCCACCATAGAGACCATGATTTTCGGAATCAGCGTGCTGAGAAGGCTCTGTGAGCCAATTTTCAGCTAAATCGGGATGGCCCGTTTCTCGCTGCTGGACTCGCTGCTCGCTGCTCGCTGCTAGTTTGACAGACGTACATTTTGCACATACTTTGGAATTCGTGGGTTTTTATTTTCGCGACGTTATGCGGTTCCCCGTCATTTAAACCGGATTTTAACCATGAAGTTAAAGAGCCACGAGCTTGGATTCTGCCACGGACGTTAGATCTGGATGAGCTCTACATTTTGCACATACTTTGGAATTCGTGGGTTTTTATTTTCGCGACGTTATGCGGTTCCCCGTCATTTAAATCGGATTTTAACCATGAAGTTAAAGAGCCAAGAGCTTGGATTCTGCCACGGACGTTAGATCTGGATGAGCTCTACATTTTTCACATACTTTGGAATTCGTGGGTTTTTATTTTCGCGACGTTATGCGGTTCCCCGTCATTTAAACCGGATTTTAACTATGAAGGCGATGAGCCACGAGCTTGGATTCTTCCACGGACGTTAGATCTGGATGAGCTCTACATGTTGCATATACTTGGGAATTCGTGGGTTTTTATTTTCGCGACGTTATGCGGTTCCCCGTCATTTAAACCAGATATTAACCATGAAGTTAAACAGCCACGAACTTGGTTTCTTCCACGGACGTTAGATCTGGATGAGCTCTACATTTTGCACATACTTGGGAATTCGTGGGTTTTTATTTTCGCGACGTTATGCGGTTCCCCGTCATTCAAACCAGATATTAACCATGAAGTTAAAGAGCCACGAACTTGGATTCTTCCACGGACGTTAGATCTCAATGAGCTCTACATTTTGCACATACTTTGGAATTCGTTGGTTTTTATTTTCGCGACGTTATGCGGTTCCCCATCATTTAAGCCGGATTTTAACCATGAAGTTAAAGAGCCACGAGCTTGGATTCTGCCACGGACGTTAGATCTGGATGAGCTCTACATTTTGCACATACTTTGGAATTCGTGGGTTTTTATTTTCGCGACGTTATGCGGTTCCCCGTCATTTAAACCTGATTTTAACCATGAAGTTAAAGAGCCACGAGCTTGGATTCTGCCACGGACGTTAGATCTGGATGAGCTCTACATTTTGCACATACTTTGGAATTCGTGGGTTTTTATTTTCGCGACGTTATGCGGTTCCCCGTCATTTAAATCGGATTTTAACCATGAAGTTAAAGAGCCAAGAGCTTGGATTCTGCCACGGACGTTAGATCTGGATGAGCTCTACATTTTGCACATACTTTGGAATTCGTGGGTTTTTATTTTCGCGACGTTATGCGGTTCCCCGTCATTTAAACCAGATATTTACCATGAAGTTAAAGAGCCACGAACTTGGTTTCTTCCACGGACGTTAGAACTGGATGAGCTCTACATTTTGCACATACTTTGGAATTCGTGGGTTTTTATTTTCGCGACGTTATGCGTTTCCCCGTCATTTAAACCAGATATTAACCATGAAGTTAAAGAGCCACGAACTTGGATTCTTTCACGGACGTTAGATCTGGATGAGCTCTACATTTTGCACATACTTTGGAATTCGTGGGTTTTTATTTTCGCGACGTTATGCGGTTCCCCGTCATTTAAGCCGGATTTTAACCATGAAGTTAAAGAGCCACGAGCTTGGATTCTGCCACGGACGTTAGATCTGGATGAGCTCTACATTTTGCACATACTTTGGAATTCGTGGGTTTTTATTTTCGCGACGTTATGCGGTTCCCCGTCATTTAAACCGGATTTTAACCATGAAGGCGATGAGCCACGAGCTTGGATTCTTCCACGGACGTTAGATCTGGATGAGCTCTACATTTTGCATATACTTTGGAATTCGTGGGTTTTTATTTTCGCGACGTTATGCGGTTCCCCGTCATTTAAACCAGATATTAACCATGAAGTTAAAGAGCCACGAACTTGGTTTCTTCCACGGACGTTAGATCTGGATGAGCTCTACATTTTGCACATACTTTGGAATTCGTGGGTTTTTATTTTCGCGACGTTATGCGGTTCCCCGTCATTTAAACCAGATATTAACCATGAAGTTAAAGAGCCACGAACTTGAATTCTTCCACGGACGTTAGATCTGGATGAGCTCTACATTTTGCACATACTTTGGAATTCGTGGGTTTTTATTTTCGCGACGTTATGCGGTTCCCCGTCATTTAAACCGGATTTTAACCATGAAGTTAAAGAGCCACGAGCTTGGATTCTGCCACGGACGTTAGATCTGGATGAGCTCTACATTTTGCACATACTTTGGAATTCGTGGGTTTTTATTTTCGTGACGTTATGCGGTTCCCCGTCATTTAAACCGGATTTTAACCATGAAGTTAAAGAGCCACGAGCTTGGATTCTTTCACGGACGTTAGATCTCGATGAGCTCTACATTTTGCACAATCTTTGGAATTCGTGGGTTTTTATTTTCGCGACGTTATGCGGTTCCCCGTCATTTAAACCGGATTTTAACCATGAAGATCAGCTCAAAAGTTAAAATAAATGTCATATTCGTGTTCAGCATGGTCAACTTAACCCATGCCATGAATCTGAAGTGATTTGGAATTCGTCGCTGAATACGTATACGTATACGTCGCTAAGTTCACGGACATATGTATCATGAGCTTTTATTCCCAAGAAGTATCAAATGTAATAATGCCTATTAAGTATTATACTGTATGCAAATTTTATGCATTCATACATCTTCCACGCTCATGTATAGTGTTACGGCTGTATAGTCTTGTGTGTAACTGTGGGATAGGCTCAAGCGAGTTAGCCGCTATGACTATTTATTTAGCTCGGAAACTCGCGTGGAGCACAGGCATTCAGCATTCGTTTGATGCTTTGGCGGAGGACCGAAATGTAGCGAGATCAAGACGCGTGAAAAGTTAGCACTACGTGCCCAAGTTTTAATCAAGGACCTGAGAGTAAATCCTTTCCGGCTGGAAAGAAGCCGAGCGACGGAGAACCTGCGGAAAACAGCAGCGCATTTCTCTCAACAGAATGACAAACAGATGCGTCCGCGCTGCGCGTGAAATATTGTCAAAGAAGTCAGACGCAAAGGAGCCGCATATTCAAGGGACGTGTCGGCTTCTCTTGGCAAAAACATGTCACGGATCCGCTCGCCAATGTTGGCTGAGGAGTCATTATTAAAAGTCAAAATGCACAACAACCAGCCTGGAAAAGACGTGTTTATTTGGTCTATTCTCCAGGAGTAATGATCTCTTTCGCTGATGGTGAATGAGAAGGACACGATCTTTCATCCCCATAAAAATGCAAATGAAAAAGTCGACGTGAGCTCATAGGAAAATTAATTGCATTAACTGACGTCTTGACCGAAATTCTTGCACATTAGTTTCTCACGACTACAAATTACCACGGAGTAAGAAAAGAGATACATCCGCAACGAAAGGTTTCACCGTCGTTTACCAAAGTTCATTCCGCTTAAGAACTTCAAGTAGCCTGCTTACAAGTGGAGGCAATCAACGCCCTTGTACAGCATCACACAATGCTGGCGTCATACAGCTGAAGACGATGAAGGTTACGAAAGCTAAGAGCAAAGTCACCGTCAAATGAATGAGAAGACTAGGCAGTATCTCATCATTCTCAGGTCATGTCTCGGCCGCTGAGATGGAAGCACACATTTCCAAAAGCAGTCTCAGTCGAAGCCATCAGTAGCCAATGGCACAACCCGATTTCTGCAGTGATACGCTAGAGTCCGCACCGGAGACCACGGTGCAGCGGAATATACTGCCGTCGGCAACGTAACATCCAACAATAACGAATCATCACATATTGTATTTGTATCACCGTATCAAAACAACATCCCTCCCCCCGCCCGTATGACGTCGCGGTCACCCCTCGTCACACTCGGCGTCCTCCTTATCTATGAGCGCCTTGATCAGTCGGCACTTCCCCACGGCGCAGCCGCACGGCACCGGGTGCTCATCGTCCTCATCCAGCATGCTGAGCGCGATGCGGTACTTTCTGCCGCCGTCCACCTCCCGCGCCAAGGTCAGTTCCCAGCCTATGACCGTATCCACTTCCAGAGGGTAGTCCGTGGGTAGCACCACCGCCGTCTGTCTCCAGTGGGTGGAGGGAGCGCGAGGGGCCGTGTCCAGCCGACTGCCGTCCGGAAACTGGCACTCGAACCACAGGCACAGGCCGCGGTACGGGCCCGGCCGCGTCACCGTCACGAAACGCCGGCACGTGACGGCCGCCAGCTCCTCGGGGGTGACGTACTGCAGGTGCAGCTCCAGCACCAGCTCCGGCGCCGCCAGCAGCTCCTCCGGGTGGGTGTCCAGCACCTGAGGACGTCAGTAACGGTCATCCACGGGCGGCTGCAGCCAGGACCTTCAGTGTATCACCGAGTTCGGACACCCACTGATCATCCACTCGGAACCGAAGATTTACGGACCTAATAATGCATCGGAAAATAAAAAAATCGCCTCTTAATAAATGATACCAGGTCAAGACAACCATCGCTTATAAACTGTCAAACATTCCCGGTGTACGGCAATAAACAAAGAGTTAAGTCACCGTGACCTGCCTCCTCCCACATCGGCCCAAGGCGCCCTGACCTGTCCTCCTCCCCATCGCCCAGCCCCCTGACCTGCCCCCTCCCACTCGCTGAGTCCTCTGACCTGCGGGGCCTGTTGCATGCTGCGGCGGGCCGCCTCCCCGACCGCAGTCAGGTCCACGCCGTACGGCCGGCTCCAGCACTGCAGCTGGTCACAGTGGAACGCGGCCAGCGTTGACGGACAGGCATAAAGACGCGCCACGTCGGGGAACATGACTCCGTCCGGCGCCAGAAACCTGCACACCCACAGGTGATAAAGCGGTGTAAAATATTGCTATGTGAGCGCAAAAAATATTGTGAAAGCATTTAGCACAAGTCCAGAAAATAATCATTTATGAAACATCTTTTACTACTTAACTTAACCAGGCCAAAAAAAGGATAACAAATTTTGGCGGCGTTAACATCAAATGCACAGCCCTCGTATCACTGCGTGGTAGACATTCTTTATTCGACAACATCGAAAATAACTCAGATATCATGTTATCGATCACTTACATGTCATAGAACTAAGACGCGCGAGACTTCGCTCCTAAGATTGGGCTCTTCATCGTCTAAACTGCCCACTCAATTTGGCGCTATAAGACCAAAGTTTGTATTTGCCCCAAAACAAACTTTTGCTTTTTCTTGCCAAAGTGAGCGGAAAATTTGTTTAGTGATGACCCAATCGAAAGGGTAAAGCATCGTGAGCCTCTGTGTTATGATTTCCGGGTGACTGCTTCGAGCCATTCGCAGTTTTGTAAATAAAAAAGAATGCCTACCACGCAGTAAGGCGAGGACAGTAAACGAGACAACTACGTCCACCACGTCACCGGCGGCACCAACCTGTCTCTGCCGACGATGACAGAGTCGAGCATGGACTCATGCAGCAGGTAGAAGCCCATCCACTCGGAGACTATCACGTCGGCCTGTTCGGGCAGCGTCACATCCTCTATTCGACCGTGCACCACCCGCACCACATCTCCGAAACCGTTCCGCTCGGCGTTCTGACGCGCCAGCTCGTGAAAGCCGGACGCCTCGACGGCGTAGACTCGTCGCGCTCCTGCCTGAGCCGCGAACAGGGAGAGAATGCCTGCGAGACGGACAGAGGGGCGAGTGAGGAGAGAGAGAGAGAGAGAGAGAGAGAGAGAGAGAGAGAGAGAGAGAGAGAGAGAGAGAGAGAGAGAGAGAGAGAGAGAGAGAGAGAGAGAGAGAGAGAGAGACAGAGAGAGAGAGACAGAGAGAGAGACAGAGAGAGAGACAGAGAGACAGAGAGAGAGAGACAGAGAGACAGAGAGAGAGAGAGAGACAGAGAGAGCTCTCCCGCAGAAAAAAAACATTCAATTTATACATTACTCGAGCATATCGTGATAAGGTATATGAGTTGGTAAAAGCACATGGCTTGAGTAATCAATAGGTAGTCCCTGTGACAATGCCACTACCCTTCATTAGGAGTGATTGATGGGCCTGTTGAGTCCGACTGCCGAGCGTTCATTCTGAATCAGCGGGATTCAGCTCCGAATCCGGCAGCTGAAGTAGCCATTCGATTCGCTGTCCGAGTCGGGATGAGACACCTCGCCGATAAACGACGGCCCTGACATTGTCATAAACCCCGTCGGTCCGACCCCGGAGCAGCGGCCGACGGGTGCGGACCGGGCGTGATTCACGCGCGCGCCGTCTGCCCACACCGTCGAGTCGTCGGCTCCGTTAGTGACCGGGCCGATCCCCCCAATCGCGCTGAGTGGAGCCAACGTACGACCGCACCGCCGGCTGCTGAAAAACGACCCGGCTGCCAGCTGGATCGGAAGCGACTTTGGAGCGGGAACTGCCAGCATGCTTAAGCAGTGAACGACAGACTGCGACTCGGATTGCGCTCATTCGTCGCTCCGACAGACGAACGGGAAAAACTATCGACCGGACGTCCGAGTGAGCGCCGACATCGGACACGAGCGGACACAGAAAGTCGCCAGGAGCCAGCCATCTGGGAGCACACGGCAGCTGTCCGACGGACAAAAAGGCAGCACTCGGTGCCGTGTTCCTTTTAGCCTGAGCATGTCCCCAGACGTGCAAACAGCCATTACGAGAGAAAAGTTACGTCAACACGCATCAAACAACAAGTTATTATTTGATAAATTATTAATCGCAAAAAATATAACTGTAGCGAGCGAACTACAGAGGACAGGAATAAGTCCCCACTCCCCACAAAGAGGAAACCATCATGCGCATTGCGCAGCTCATGTTCAGCCAGTTCTCCATCACTTCAACGCCACAGTCGCCACCGACCAGCGTCCGGCGATTTCGGCCTCACTGCGGGTGACGGCCAACCGGCCCCGTCCCGCCCTCCGGCTGTCAAGTGAGCCGTCCGGCCCGCGTCTGTGGCCGGTCGATCGCATAGGGAGCCGAGGCGGCTGGCGCCCACCTGACGCCGCGACTTCCGACAGAGTGGTCTTCACACGAGTCCGCGATCAGACCCGAGTTCACTGACAGGCTTGCAAATGACGGATCCGGCTCCCACTGCGGGTGTGTGTGCAAGCGTGTTCAATAAGAGAGGGCGAGAATGTGAACGTGTTACGATATCAAAGACGTCGAGTCATCTCTCAGTTCTCTTGCAGTCAAATGTATTCTTATAATAGTTCAGACTTATAGATAAGAAATATGGTGCAATGACTGCCTTCAATTATTAGGAAATCGTGACATAATGCTGATGAAGCTGACGTTTATTCATACGGCGGGCGAGATGCCCTGGCTTTCTAGGCGAGACTGAAATGTTGGAGCGTATCACACCGAAATGGTGTTATGCTTCCCCACATCAGCGAGCACTGACCACACTGACCATTGCGGACGAACTGGCTTGACCAGAGCAGGCCAGTGGATTGGGACCGCCTTAGAATTCAGCCAGCTGCGGCCGCTGGTCGAAATTCTCCGGAGTAGGAGTGCCGAGGAGATTTGGTCGCATTTCCACACACACACAAGCTGCCACCACAGGCGGCGAGCCTCGGCCACATTTCAGCCCCTGGCCGCGCTGTTGATCCGCCAGTCTCGGTCGTTTGATTTCTGTGCCGGATATAAAGGTCAGATGCTTCTATAGCCGGGCTATACGAAGCACCAATAGCGTTTCAGTTACCTCAGTTATTGAGTCATTGTTGGCCAAAATGATGGTACAGTATGCCTTTTGAAAAGAAAAGAAAATACCAAGCCGTGTTTACTGATCTCAGGCAGCTCTTGCCAAATTGTCAGGGAACTCAGATCTGTTTTTCAATAGAAAAACACAACTCTAAAGAATAGTGTTTTAACTATTGACAACAAACCTTCGGTTACCATTTTCTTTACAGCGAAAATTGCATTGCGTAAACAATGCAATTACCAACATAAAGCAGCATGAAGTCAACACCCGTCCAGCCGTCGAAACACGCACAAATTCCCTACAGTCCCGTCCCTCCCTGATGCGCTGTCTTTCCTACAGATCAATGCAGACACACATACATAAACACTGCGCGGCCACGGCCGCTGGCGGCGGACGGTACACAATTACAGCAGCGTCCATTGAGCGACCGCAGCCGCGCACGTGAAGGGGCCATTTACAGAAAAACATAACCGTCGGCGGCAAAGAGACGAGCCTCGAGGCTATACTGGGCAGGCGACCAATGGGCACGCCCAATAGAGCGTTATAACGAATACACTGGAACGATGCGTGTGCCGAGCCGGATATAGCGCAGAGGTAGCTGCCGGAAGGTGTGCTTGCACAGACTGCAATATTGAATGCAACTGAATCGGCAACGAGCCGTGGAATCGAATGTAAACAGACCGGCAGATTGAAGGCATCGACAGCGCTGCAGTTTTTAATGGGCGAGCGCATTGGGTTGTTGCAGCGGCGACCGCGATGGGTTGTTACGGTATTCCAGACAAATACAGTGCCTGTTGTAATAACAGCTGCTTATGGGAAGCGTGTGGAATAAAAACTACTTCCAAATATTCACCATTGTATAAATATAATGAGATCAAATCAAATCGAGCAAAGGAAAAAGACATCAATACATTTCCATTAAAAGCAAACTAACAAAAAGCCGCCGTCGCTTCGCCGGCGAGTCCATGCCCGCCCGCCGCGTCTGTTCTCACCATGACGGGACACAGCAGAGGACAGCAGCGCTGTGACCCGATCAGCCGCTGACCTGACCAGTCCAACTGACCTGCCCATCTGACCCATCACACTGACCTGTGACGACCCCACTGACCTGTGACCTATCCCATTTACCTGCGACCTGTCCCACTAACCTGTCCCACTAACCTAAGACCTGACCTGTGGCCTGCTCCCGTGACCTGTTTCTGTGACCTGGCGACTGACCTGTACCGGCGCCAATATCGAGCACCACCTTGTCCTGGAACAGATGGCGACTGGCCTGAATGGCCGCTCGGTACGCCTCCGTTCGCGGCTTGTCACCCACCATTAGACGGTGCACCTATGGAAGAAGAGCAGTGTCAGATATAATCACCAGACTGCTTCGTCCACTGTCCACCGTCCCGCCCTGTCCAGTCTTATCTGCCCACCGCTGGCGCCGTCCCACTCTGCACTTGTTTACCCCGCCCTCCAGCGAGCCATATCGCCGCTTGTCTACATAATATGTCTGTCGCACTAATGGATCCTCCAGATGCGGCGCTATGATACCAAACACATATCGCCAGTCACCCAGTGCCATCATCCTACCCAGATCACATACGAAGGTAAACACAAACAACCAAGAGCAGGCGGTAACACTAAGGTGCCGTGCCGGTTTATTGGAATAGCTGGGATTGCTGATGGGTCTTTAACTATTCTTGGAATTCGTGCTGTTTACATTGCTTTAAATGTTTTACAAGTTCGGGTCTTTTTATCTTCGCAATTCCCCGGGAAAGTTTACCCCTGAAAATGTTCGACATATTTTTCAACCCAACTGACGGAGGAAATAAAACACGGTTCAGAACCAAAACAAATTAGCACTAATAAACAGATGTCTTTAATGCCCGGTAAAAAGCAATGCCGTTGGCGAATGAATTATTTGACGGGATGTTTATACGGCAACGTAAATTGTCAGGCGTTTTCAAGTTGACTGTTCTGTAGGACATCACAGCGTAGAAGAAGTCACCAACAAGTGTTGCAATGTAAGTCGCGCGGCCATGGCAACAAGTAATTCTGGCCGCTGCGGGCACAGAGGCCGTCGTGGCCGCCGCGACCCTGACCGACCCCACCGGGGATTTCCGTGCGCGGCCGCCGTCCGCCGCACGACCACTCCCCAAACGTCCCGGACAAATGCGGCTGAGTCGCCAGGGACACACGGGCCGGCACATCGGTAACAGACAGCCGCGGCGTCCGCCGCCGGCCACAACTAATCGCACTGTATGATTCACAGGTCCAGAGGCACGTAATGCACGCACGTCGGCTCGCCAAGACGGATGGCCGAAGCGCCGCCGCGACGAGCGGCACATCGATCCGAGAGTGTTGTTGACGGCTAGGACACCTGACGCCATCGGCAGAGGTGCGCTGGGTTAACGGTAATGCGGTAATGTGGCTGGCGGCAGCGCCGAAACTACTTGATTCGCCTGAAATTCACGCTGGCGGTCGGTGCCGCGCGGGGGCGACGGCTCCAGCCCAACACGGCTGGTGCCAGTGGTTGTTAACCAGCGCGGACGTATCAGCCACAGACGGCTGTGGTGCATTATGCGCAATGCAAACTGCAGCACACGTCCGCGCCTTTCGCCGTGCTTACCAAGTCAAAGCTTCAAAGCCACGGAAGTACTGAAGGTTCTGCATGCATAACGACTACACATGATGTGAGTGGTGTCAGTGCAAACTGAGCTCACTGCGATGTCTGACACATCCGACCTCAAGACCGGTGGTCAATACGGGGTCAAAGGGAACGCCGCAACGTCGCATCCTTTCTACACCACTTTGAAGACACCGACGGCGCGAAAAGTACACAGGTGCAGCATGAGCCGGTCTGTAGCGTTCAGCCGTTCAGCAACGAACCGTAACGTCCTATTTCAAAGTCACATTCGGGTAATGGGAAGACCCACACGCTACTTAAACTCTCAACTACCCGCGAAGGAGGCGAATCGACCAAACTCGGCCCACAACACTCGAGCGTACACGGTTTGATGTGCTTCTCATATTGTGTTATATGTTGGAGCGTGCGATGAGATACATTTAAACACCGCAATTGCATCAGGGTATGGAAGCTCACAGGCATTTAAAAGCAAACTTACGGTTGTCTCGCTGCTGGGCATTGCCAGTCAGGCAGAAGCCAACACAGGCGTAGTTTTGTTTCATCATTCCGCTGTAACTTTGCCTTCGATTATTACACCTTTTTGCGTTGTTCGATGGCCAATCAGCAAAACCCATTCGTCCGATCAGCACATAGGTGGCGCCAGTGAGAGGCATTCTGGCAAAACCTTCAGCATATGGGCAAAACGGAATGCTGATCCCACTCCACAGTTCGTCAGTTGGTATTACCTTCGCTATTCGCCATAACTGATTGAGTTCCGGCAAAACCTTTGACGATTTGGATAAATGCTTCGTCATTCGTTAACCCTCGCATGTGTGCGGCGTTTTCCAGCTTCTAATGTGTAGGGGGGGGGGGGGGGTCGGTTGGACCCCTCCCCCCTTGCCGTTTGGCCCCTGATCGAGCTATAGCTTCGCGGAAAAAACGAGCGTGTTGCCCGTGACGAGAGGAAGCCGATGATACCCAATTTTAAGGTCCTAGGTCATTGGCTGACCTTCCAGGTCAGGTCAATGACCCAAGGTCGGGAAAATCGGGACCTGTTAGAAAGTCGTAAAGTGTGGCTTCTTAAGGGTTTTTCGGGGTGCTGATCACGAATATCGTGTTAGTTTTGATCACAGATGATGTCTTTAAGCATTTAGACCAGGTCGGGTCAGGTCAGGTCAGGTCAACCAGTAGGCGTCGTGATGGGTATTAGTATTACGTGTCAACCGCCTCTGACAGCTTCGTAACATGTTACGAAGGCACCAAAACTACTTCGTAAATGTTCAAATGGTTGCTAAATTCGAATTCAGCTCCAAAAACTAGCCTAGAAACATGTAAAACTCGAAAAAGTGAACCGAGGTCACCAAAGGTCAATGAACTGCCCTGACCTTCAGGTGACCTTGACACCCACCCTAATGCATGGGAGCAACATCAAATCACATGTTTGAACGTTTGAAACCACGAAAAGCTTGCAAACGCGCGGCTAATGCCAGCCGACACACGCGGAATCGCGATTCCGGCCAAACATGGTCTCGGAAAAGAGGTCACAGGTCATAGGTCATTGGGGTCAGGGTCATGAAATTTTCAGGGTAGGTGTAAAATTGATCAATGCGAGGGTACTGAAAGTTTCGTCGCGATCAGCCGCTTTTTACGCGAGTTATTCGCGAAAAACCATGGGGGGGGGGGTCCATCCGACCCCCCCCTACACATGCGAGGGTTAATATCCCTTCGTCGTTCACCAAAACATCCCCATGCTAATTTCGGCATTCCTCTTAACATTTCGTCAAAACTAAAAACAGATCGCCCCTTTACAGAGAAGTATAAATATGACCGCGTTTACACAGTGCAGTGCGAGGCGAAACTCGTAGACCATTGATCCACATAAAAATTGGTAGCGTTCATGAGCGCCATAGCCCATAGGTACAATGTAGATGGACGTAGCTGACATGTTATCGGCTGATTGAAAAATGGACAGGCAACAGAGCAACAGGCTGGATAAGTTAACCCCGCCTCAAACACCAAGGAACAGGCAACAGGCTGGATAAGTCAGCCCCGCCCCAAAAACCAAGGTGTCCGGCCGGCAGGGCCTGGCTTGCCATCTGTCAGCCATTCCCTCGCGAGTCCGACCGGCGCGGCCGCTCGAAGCGTTGTCCCATGACATCGCACGGGCAGTGACGCGATAATGACGGCCGACTTCGTGGTTTGTATCGAAGCGTTTAGGAGTCCGACGCTCAAGAATCTACATGCCTACTCGGTATGGCGCCGGCAGTCTCCTCGTAGCTATGGTATAACTGCCTTTTTCGGAATTCAATGGTTAGGTAATTGGTTGCAAATTGCGCTGGAACTGTCATAAGCCTCATCCCTGAATGCGCGCTTAACGTTAAACATTGAATATGACTAGATAAGCACTACATCATTGACATTTTGATCATTGACTAAAGTTTTAAATAAACAGTCATTGTTTACGCACAGTACCGATGAATTTTGCACATCGACTAACCATTTTGTGAAATGTCGAAGCATTATGACAATCTGACAAAGTGTTTTGCCTATGACGAACATTGTGCTCAATGACAAAGAGTTATGCAGAATGGTTAAATGGAGTCCAGCCTGTTTTGCCGACCGTCAAACAGTGATGCACATCGCCGATGGGTTATTCTGAATGACGCTTGTCCAAACTGATGCCGAAATGGTTATGACGATTGGCCATCGAACAACGCAAAAAGGTGTAGTCGGTGTTGAATGTCACCGATGAACCGGGCGTGGGCTGCATAGCTGGGTGATACGGACGTGAGTTAGTTATTCCGAATCTATATCAATTCTTCTCTGAATCTATATGAATTCTATATCAAGAGACCTCTGCATGGTCTCTTTATTGCGATTCTACCTTACCTCGCTAGGTAGTTTGGACCTCAGAGGTCTCTTGCCAAAGCGATATAAATTCAGGTCAGAATGCCTTACGATATATTAAAACAGTGAACACTCGCTCTATTATAATACTGATATTACATTAGACACGCCTTTGATCCCTAGCCTGGTCCTGACAACGCCCTGACGATAAATTGGTCAAATCACGGCAGCACACATTCGAGGGAATCACGCGTTAAAGGTAGTGTGCCAGCTTTCTTGGACCGTATGGAGTTAATGGCCCAGATAAGGAGAACCGGATTTTTAGAACTTATCCATACCTTCAAAACTCATGGAAACGTCTTAAATTCTTCAAATTTTGAGTACCCCAGTGCGAAATTCGCCCCGACGGGTTGTCGGTCGTACCCCAACCACATTTCACACCACTATGAACAATAAATGCACACACTGAAATCGCTATTACCGATATGCTCATCCAATAAGTTTCGATAAACCCGTTCATCATCATCTCCTGCGGTTTCGAACACGCCTGTTAGGTGGCTTCTGATGCTCGTCGAGGTCGGAATTTCCAAATACGCGTGGTGCGTCGGGCCGCGCGCTCTGACTTCGGCCAAGAAAAATGCGTCAGCTGATCATTGTCATTTCTGCCACTTGCGTGTGGTGAAATGGGGTCATAACTTATAAGACGGCTTTTTCATATCAATTATTTTACATAAAATCATATTTCAAACCATAAATAATGTTCGACAGCCAAATAAAAGAAACAATACAATACGGGCTTACAGTTTAAGGCTCGACATTGTGTTGTCTACGATTAGACAGCTGATAACTCATTCCCGTACGTCGTATG